TTGGCTTTGATAATTTATGTATTTCTAGGAATTTATCCATTTATCCTGTATTATATAATTTTTCTTGGTGTACTGTTAGTTGTTCATAGTACTCCGTATAATCCTTTGTATTCCTGCAGCATCAGTAGTAATGTCCCCATGTTCATTTCTGATTTTATTTATTTACATCTCTTTTATTTTCTCTGTCAATCTAGCTATGTCAATTTTGTTGATTTTTTTCTGAGATCCAAATTTTGTTTTATTGAGCTCTCTATTGTTTTCCTGTTCTCTGTTTTATCACCAACTAATCTTTTTTATGTCCTTCTTTCTGCTAGCTTAGATTTTAGATTACTCTCCTTTTTCTAGTTTTTTAGGGTATAAAATTAGGTTGTTGAGATCTTTCATCCTTTTCAATGAAAAAGGCATTAACTGGTATAAATTTCCTCTGAGCACTGTTTTCTCTGTGTCCCATAAGTTTTGGTATGTTGTGCTTTAATGTCATTTATTTCTGAGTGTTTTCTAATTTTCCTGGGATTTTTTCTCTGACCCATTGTTTGTGTGCTGTTTAATTTCCATATATTTGTCAATTCTCCAATGCCCCTTCTGTTAATGATTTTTAGCTTCACTCCTTTATGGCCTGAAAAGATACTTTCTATGACTTAAGTATTTTTAAATATATTGAAACTTGTTTTGTGGGCTAACATATGGTGTCTTCTGGATAATGTTTGTACATGTTCTGCTGTTGTTGGGTATGTTGTCCATTGGGTCTAGTTGGTTACGGTGTTGTTTAAGTTAGTTATTTCCTTACTGATCTTCTATCTAAACGTTCTATCTATTATTGGAAGTAGGGTATTGAAGTCTTTATTATTTTAGAACTGTCAGTTTCTTCCTTCCATTCTGTTAATGTTTACTTCATATATTTGAGGTTTCTTTTTTGGGGGGTTTATATATTTTTAATTGTTATATCTTCTAGCTGAATTAAACCTTTTATCAATATATAATGTCTTTTTAAAATCTCTTGTAACAGTTTTTTTAAAGATTTATTTATTTATTCCAGAGAGAGAGAGAGTGGGACGGGGGCAAAAAACAGAGGGAGAGGGACAGAGAGAGTCCCAAACAGACTCCCTGCTGAGTGTAGAGCCCAACGTGGGGCTTGATCTCACAATCCTGAGATCATGACCTGAGCAAAAATCAAGAATTGGACGCTTAACTGACTGAGCCACCTAGGCACCCCCTCTTGTAACAGTTTTTGACTTAAAATCTATTCTGTCTGATACTAGTGTAAGCTACTCAGTTCTCTTTTATTTGCTATTCGTATGGAATATGTTTTTCCATCATTTCACTTTTAACATCTTTGTGTCTTTGGATCTGAAGTGAGTCTCTTACAGTCAGTATATAGTTAAATCATGTTTTTTTTTTAATCCATTCTGCAATCTTTATCTTTTGATCTATTTACATTTAATTTTATATATAAAATAATTACTGATAATGAAGAACTTACTTTTGTTGTTTTAATATTTGCTTTTTATAAGTTTTATGCCTTTGTCTTGTTTGTTTCTCAGGGATAGTTTCCAGTAATTTCATCTGTTAATGAGTATACTTCTATGTTTTTTCATGCTTCATACATATTTTTGAGAATTGTATGTTTTGAATATTATGATGCAGTAATTCTAGAATTTTTTTTTCTTCTTAACATTTATTTTTGTTTCTAGCTGTTCACTGTAGCTGTAGTTTAGTGACTTTTCTAAACAATTTTTTAATGTCTATATTCTTCATCATGTGTGGTCTCTGAAGTCCTTGTTTCTTTAGTTTGTATTCTGCCACTGTTTTGACAGATTTCTTTGAACACAGGAATGAACAAGAATGAGAGAAGAAGAGGGGGAGAAGGAGGAATTAAGAAAAATATTTCTCCCACATTTTGTAGCTTGGCTTTGTGCTGGGATACCCTTTCAATATTTAGATAATTTACAATTCTGCCTTGCCTTAACTTTCTGCTTGGACTAATCCTAGAGACCAGTCAATTGAAAGCTTAGGATCTTCTCAAGTGTTTTTAGCCATGTGTCCTGCCTTAGGCATGTGCATGGCTTTCTAAATCCCCTTATGTATGGGGAATGTATAGATTTCCCAAATTTTCTTCACAGGTTTTCATTACTTAATTACTTAATTACTGCTTCAACTGTAATCTTTTGCCCTAGACAGCTACAAGTGGTTCATTTATCTTATGATTTTTCCTCCTTGAGTGAATTCTGAGTTGGACAAAACAAAGACAAGTGCCTCAACTTGTTCCTTTAAGGAGCTCCCAGACAGAACAGACAGATAAACATATTCTTTGTTAATAAGCCAGATCTGCTCCTTCTAGAACAAGGAACCAGAGGTCCACCTTATTATTCCATTGTTTCATTATTCCATTTAGTGAATTATTTTTGATGCTTCTGTGGAGGGATGGGCCCTTACAGCAACCTACTCTGCCATTTTCAGCGACATCACATATTTGGCACTATTGTTAACATATGTGAAATGTTTAACTTTGGTGATAATAATATGCTATTATATAAGAACACTAAAAGTCATATTTTCTTAGCTAAATTATTAGCCTTTTTACAAATTTAACCTATTTAGGGCTAAACTGAGCATAGTAAAATACTGAATACAATGGACATAAACACCTCTCTGCAGCCTTTCCATATCTGATTTTATTTTGTCTCTGGAATGGCCAGCAATTCATTGGTAATTTACTTTCCTTTACTGTAGATTGGTAACACACCAAAAGCAAATTTATTCCTTTAACTGTTTTTTTTTTCCTATAGGTTAAATATGGGAGATGTTTTTTAATTTAATCAGAGATATTTCACTTGTTATTCAGTCCATCAGGTGTAGTAAACATTTGAAGATGATATAAACAGCTAAATAACATTAAACACAAATAACAATGATAATAATTTAGACACTTAATTTTTTACAGGACTTCACTAAGTGAATTATGTAATGGTGAAGATGATAATATTGTATTGACATTTAAATAACTAAGTGAAGCATTCAAGAAAAAACTTTGGAAAAAAAGACATTGACAATGTTGATCTTTACCCAAGCACTGTGATCCTGGAAAATAGAGATGATCAAGAAATTTTTCCACCCATTTGTGTTTCAGAAAATGGCTTATAACATAGAACCATTCTTTCTTATATGACTCAGATAAGACTTGCAGATGACCCCCTGTTACCAATAGCAGTCCTCAACACACCTTTCAAATTCCTGTTCTTTGCCTCATAAATGATTAGTTGAACTGTTTTCCCCTACTGACCAATCTGGACAAAATGCATGCTAACTTGACTAAACTTTACTCAGGTTTCTTCCTTCACCACAGGTCCCTGGACTTTAATCCACCCTTTTTGCTCCTGCTGAAACTAACTAGAGGCATTTCCAGATCAACTGTCCCAGATCAACTGTCCAATCTCAGATCAATGACTGGCAATGTTAACCAAGACATTCCCAGAAGAATTGTCCAATCATACCACAAATTCATCCCATTCCCCCACACCTGATTCTTCCTAGCCTTGTTTATTCATCCCTATAAATTAAAAATCCTTTTCTGGCTGACCCTTGAGATCCTGTAAACCCACATTCAGAACATTCTCTTTGTTGCAGTAGCCCTTCTTTACCTATTGCAGCCCCTATCCCCACTTACTGCAATAGACTTTTTGAATAAAATCCCTTCTTATATAAGTCCAGATTTGTTTTTGATTTGACAACAGCATGCCTTACCAAAGAAATAAAAGGTATTACCTAGCAAAAGTATAAATTTCACAATTTATTGAACTATTTACACAAAAATGTCCTAGCAAGGAAAATTTTTATTTAAATACCTAAATTCTCAGTAGGAATTCTAATAATTTTCTTGTATTAAAACTCTTATCTTAAAAAAATTATCTGGAAGAATAGCTATGCTAAATATCTCAAATAATTACTACCTTTGACTGAAATGTTAAAGATTTTTTTAAAGATAAAAATTAAAGTCAATTAAAAATGATATGACATCATACATCATAGCAGTAAGTTGAAATCTTGAAAGTGATTTGAGAAGTCTAATTATTCTTAAATGTTTCATGTTGTGTCCAATCACTGTGTTCTAAATGTCCTGAATCATTTCACCTGTAAGAAAACAGGTTCTGAATACAGTTTTCACTTCTCCTGAGACTGGTGAAGACAGATCTACAGGGACTGGGCTACAGGCTATTGAAAAAAAAAAAAAAAACATTCCACGTGGAACAGAGCACTGCTCTCAACTTCACCAGGTCATCTAGATTTATTGCATGTGTCCTCATTTTCCTAGCTTGACTTCATTAACTGCTGCTTCCTGTGATCTTGGGTTTTGTGTTTTCCCTTGCATATATTGGGAGCCCTCTGTTGTGGACTCACCCATCTCTGTGTCTGCCTTTATTCTTGGCTAGTTTGTGGCATCAATCTAGATTCTCTCCCAAATCTGACCTCAGCATTTTTCCTTTGCTCTTCCTAATTTACTGAATCTCCAGGCCAGGCTTTCTGGATGGTACAAAGCACATAATAACTTCCAAATGGCTTTGATGCTGATGTTAAGAAGGGAAGACAAAAACAATGAGCAATGACTTTTCTGACACTGCATGGACAAATATTGGGTTGGTTAGGCACTCACATTAAAAAAAAATAGCTAGGGATAAACTGCCTTTACCAGAATGGTTGTCAAATACACACAGCCCCACCTCAAACACATGTCTGCACTCACACACAGATCCATACACCCATTTTTACATCCAGGTCTCTTACATATCGAAGCCTGACAAGCATCTATATGGCTGCACTTTGCTGTTTTATATCTTCATTTTCTTCTAAATAAAGGAAGCTTTAGATGTTCACTTTAGCTTTATTGCATTTGTACAAAAATCTTGAAAATTTCTCTAGGGGGTTGGTCACACACCATGTTTTCCTCTTCCCAAGCATGCTAAGGACAGCTGTAAGCAGATTTTCTTGTTGTAGGGAATTGACAATTCACATTTAAATAAAATATATTTCAATGAAATTGTTTTTATTATTCCATTGTTTCATTATTCCATTTAGTAAATTGCTGATTTGAGTGATAAGTACAAATCCAGTCTCACATACTTTTATCAATAGATTTTTTTTTGGCTTAGAATGATTTTAAAGATAGAAGAGAAAATATGATTCTGTCATTTTGATATAATGCATCTAACAAGGCAAACGTATCACAAACTCTGTATTTTGACATGTCTGTAAATTGGAGTGCTGTGTCCTCCACATCCTTCTTTTGACTTAGTAGTCTTCAGCATCCCCGGCACAGATGGCAAGCAGAGCTTTCTCATAATGCCCTGAAGCAAAATTCTGAAACAAACAAACAAACAATGTATTTGAAATAAAATGTCATAGTATTTCTAAAAAGAACCCTGATTCCTCTGAATTATAATGAGAAAGATCCATGGGCCATTAGCGTTTCTGAAATTGTTGACTCTTTTCATCTAAGATTTAATATGTTCTAAGAACTATTCCCAGGGGAAGTTATTGAAAAATAATACCATGGTTATAGTCAATAGAATAGGGTTTATATAAAGTTGATTGAACCCTAATGTGTATTTATGAGAAGAATAACTCACAAGAGAATTAAATCTCCTCCACTTTAAAAGCAGTGTCTTAATATTATTGTTATAAATCAGTTGAGTTTATTGTTATAAATCTGGAGGGCAAATTGACAATATGCCTCCAAAGATTTAAAAATGTTTATTCTTCCTAGTGCAGTAATTCTACTTCAAGAAATATATCCTAAGGAGATAATGATCAATTATTGAAGAGCACAAAAATTTACACTCAAAAATATAGATACCATTATATATAATAGTGAAAAAGTAAAAAGCAGTATTTAATAATGTGGGGTAGTTCATGTATTTTATAACTTATGCAGTGGAATACCATGATTCAATAAAACCATTCCTTTATGTAGTAAAACATACTAATGTTTACATATATTTTTAAAAAGCACCTACAATAACATTTCATTACTGATTGTCTATGGTGGAGAAAAAGGGCAATTTTTATCTTCTTTTTATGGTCTTCTGTAGTTTCTAAGTTTTTCAAAACAATAATAGTAAGAAATAAATGGAATTATAAAACCTATGTTAAAAATCAACTATCATATTAATGTTCTCTCACACAAAGTCATGCAATTACAATTCACTGTTTTAAATCCATATCGTAAAGTTACATTAATTGCATGTAGACTTTGAAGTGGCTTGGTTAATTGCAGTGTATATGTTAGAATTAGTTTATTTATTTAGAAAATGAGCTATGACATGTATTTCTCAATGAGAAATGTTTATTGCCACTAAAAGTTTAGGGTTTTGAAGGTAGGTGCAAGGAGAGTTTTATCAAAACAAAGGAATAAAATTTCTCCTAACTGCTGCAATGCCTCTTTTTAGAAAACACTTTGGCTATGCAAAGGCTTACAGGGTCTTCTGTTTTTTTATGGTCCTTTTGTCCTTAGGTTGTCAAGTTGCTTCTGGATCACTTTTAATAAACTAAAAAGCTATTTTATGCGATTGAAAATTTCAGTGTAAAGCCATGTGAACAGGTAACAGCACTTAGCTATGTGCAAATTATAAGGCAAGATGTATTCTCAGGGCCCTGTGCTTGGTTTAATGCTCTGCTGATGCCATCCCTAAATTCTTTATAAATTTTTGAACGAGAGGTCAAATATTTTAATTTTAGATTGGGTGCCAAAAATTACATATGTAGCTCCAATGCTTTGCTAGGTTTTACCAAAATCCAGAATAAAATTTAGACATATCAGAATGAGTAAGTTGGTTTGTTTACTTCTGAATCATTGCTGCTTTGCCCTTCAAGGGCTAAAGGGATAGGGGTGCATAGAATTTTACATAACTATCAGGGTTAGATCCCTCCAAGTTACCAGTTTATGGGATCCGACCTGCTTCCCTGCGTTCTGCGACAGTACGAGAGCTGAACTGACCTAAGAAGCCCCTTCACGACTAGCGTAGCCTTACTGCCCAACGTTATTTTTCCTGATACTGATCACGCTTCAAAATTTAACTCACGAAGCACAATCACACCATTAGGGGAGGAATGTTTTACATGACTCCATCAACAATTTTTGTTTGAAACACATCAAAGAGAAACAAATTCTGTTACTGAGGTGAAGGGGTTCCCTAACGTAGCCCTCGGTTGACGCACTAAAGGCTGTCTGATGTACCAAAGTACATCACCTTTGTCAGAATAGTTCGCTTTTTAGATTCCAACACGAAGTTACTTAAATTAAAGCTCTTATTTCAGTTTCAAAAAGGATAGAATCTGGGACAAAATAAATCACGTGTAGGAGATTTACTTTGATGTCATGAAACAGGGATTTTCCGTATCTTTCTTTGTATCGTTTCCTGATGGTCATCAGATCTATTTCACTTCTGGCGATTAGAATCCTGATTACGGTTTTATTATGGAAACCGAAGTCCTGAAAGATACAGAATAGGAGAGAAAAAAATTAGAAAACAGTAGTTTAAAGTTAATCTATCTAATACAGACTCATCCTCTTTTCTGTGGCCATTTATTCATCCTGTACTCCTCAAACACTGGCATGGCGATCGGGGGAGTGGGGGCCCAAGTCTGACTCCGTCTCCTCTGAGACTTCTCCTTCTCTCATACGGTGTACATACGGTGAAGTATTCTATCTATTTGACTTCTTTCCCTTGCTTTACTTATGTATTTTATTGAAGTATAATTGACATACTATTGCCTCTTAGTTCCAGATGTACGTCATAGTGATTCAGGATTTTTATACATTACAAAATGATCCCCATCGATCTAATTTCTTACCATACAGTTTTTCACCAAACATTTATTACAATATTATTGACTACATTCCCTATGCTGTATGTTATATCACCATGATTTATTTATCTTATAACTGGAAGTTTGTACCTCTTAATCCCCTTTAGCTGTTTTGCCTGTTTCTCCACCCCTCTCCCTCAGTGACCAATAGTTTGTTTCCTGTATCTGTAAGTCTGTTTCCACTTTGTTTATTCATTTGTTTTGTTTTTTAGATTCTACACATAAATGAAATAATATGGTATTTGTCTTTCTCTGACTTATTTCACTTAGCATAATACCTTCTAGGTCCATCCATGTTGTTGCAAATGGCACGATTTCATTCTTTTTAATGGCTGAGTAATATTCCAGTGTCTGTGTGTGTGTGTGTGACACAGTCTTTATTGATGGACACATAGGTTATTTCTTGGCTATTGTACATAATACTACAATGAACACAGAGGCACTTATATCTCTTCAAATTGGTGTTTTTGTTTTCTTTGAGTAAATACTTAGAAGTGCAATTGCTGGATTGTATGGTGGTTCTATTTTTAAGTTTTTCAGGAAACTCAATACTGGTTTTCATATTGACCGCACCAATTTACATTCACACCAACAGTGTATGAGGATTCTCTTTTCTCCACATTCTTGCCAACACATGTTATTTTTTGTCTTTTTGATAATAGCCAGTCTGGCAGGTGTGATATCTCACTGTGGTTTTGATTTGCATGGCCCTGATGATGAGTGATGTTGAGCATCTTTTCATGGGCCTGTTGGCCAGTTGGCCATCTGTATGTTGCCTGTGGTGGGGCTGCTGAAGCTGGTGTGGGTCAGGGGCCCAGGGCATGCTGGGGCCACCCTAGCAAGCTGGGTAGAGCATCTGGACCCTGTTTCTGTCTCTGCTATCAAGGTGGAGGGGGAATGTGAAAATTGGTGCTCATTCACACCTATGACCCTAGAGAGGCTTCCCACAGTTCCTCACCCATTTGGTGGATGTTTTAAGGTTAATGAATGGATTTCCTTTACTTATAGTCTAGTTGCCCTTTAAACTGCTGTGTCTTCACTGTGCCCAGGGCAGGTGAGTCTGTGCATGGGCACCTCAGTGATATCCCTCCCTACTATAGGTCTTTGTGTAGAGGTTACTACGTCTCCAACTCTTATCCTTCTCTGTGTGGACCCTTCATTATTTGTTGTGCAGAAGCTGTTCAGCTTTCAGTTCTTCAGGCAGAATTGCTCTATATGTAGGTGTAGATTTGGTGTGTCGGTGGGAGGAGGTGAGTTCAGGGTCTTCCTACACCCCCTTTCTATGTTACTTCTTAAATGTCCCATATCTATTTCCAGTGTCACTGCCTTGATGCTGGCCCTTATCCTTTCACCCTGATTCTGTAACAGTTCCTTCCTTTTACTACCTGGCCAACCCTCACACTCTCTCCTTCCTGATTCTGCAACAGTTCCTTCCGTTTAGCCTAGTGTCCCTCACACTGCATTATAAAATACAAATCTGATCATGTGCTCTTTCTAGTAAAAATTCTAGGCTGGGGAGGGAGGTGGGTTTTGAATTATGTTAGATGAACTTTGATATGTCTGAGTGAGACAGCAATTACATTTTTATTTTACAGTCTATTACTAAAAATTGTAAAAATAAAAATTCCAGGTATTTGGAATATTTTTGGATTTAAACTCAAATACTGAAAAATACAAAAATCAATTTTTGTATACTAGCTCCCCAAAAGAATATTGCTTTATACACCAATTTCAATTTGTCTTTTCAAATGGAGTAATGGGGACATCCAGTGGCCAGTGAGCATAATATAAATATATGTATATATATATATTTTTGAAGATAATAAAATTTTTGATGTCTGAATGTTTTGGATATAGACCTCTAAGCAATCTTTTCACAATTTGATGTGATTAAATTAAATGATTTACCCAAGTTTCCATATTTAAGTTGTATATCATTCACTTAAAGTGCACTAGAGAAAAATACCTGTAGTTTTCTTTGGTTAAGGGTAATATAAACAGCTTTGAGCAATATTTTACATTTGAGGTCATCATATATCAAAAATTCAACTATTTAAATATACAATCCTCCTCTTGTGAGCACATGTATATTCATTTTTGCATTGAAACACACACAGAAGGAATAGAATTTTTATTTATTATTAGAATAAGTAGCCCTCAATTTGGACAGATTTAGAATCAGACTAATTATGCTTATTTCTCCATGGTCATTCACAAGTGAAACTTCATTTTATTTTTGGAGAAGGACACTGTTAAAATCATTCCATAATATTGTCCAATATATTATTTAAAAATTTTTTAAATCAAGTCAGCTTTTTCTGCCTGGAAATAGAAAAAAATAGAAGTGAAGTCTGTGAGCATAGGATACATGTGTTTTGAGGATACATAAGTTGGTTCTTGTACATAAATAAAAAATACTCTTTACACAAGATATGTAATATAAATATTCTCGACTATTATCATATTATCCCAGCATGCTAGCTACTTTTAATAAGTTGGTCTGGAAAAATTACTTTGAGGATAAAACACTGACTCTTAAAACTACTGTATTACTGACTTTTTAAAAAAATAATTTTCACTGAGTTTTTGAAGGTATGATATATGTATAATGATTTGTATCAGAACTTTTCTTTTTCTAAAAATGTGTTATGCACATTATGGATAAAATGTGCATTGTTTCATGCATTTAAGTGTTTGTTTCTTTAAAAATAAATGTACCAAAGGATGTGTGATTGCCTATCACACTAAACTATGAACAACATTTTCATTTAATTACAAAATAGATTTAGAGTTTGTTGTTGTCAGCCATCTCTTTTTAAAGTACTTTTTAAAATAACACTTTGTTTAAAAATAACCACTGCCATTATTTCATATTTTTAAATTTCAGAAATGTAGTAATTTCTTACTAAGGGTTTATAATGTTTTGACATTTCCTGCTTGATAGTTTATGTTTTGTACTTGAATTAAGTATGAAGGAGGGCCTTTGGCGCAATACAAAAGCTTTTGGATTTGCCAGTTTCTTCATATGCTAAGAAGAGCTAAAGCACATGGGGGAGATAGGCCCCACAGAGTCATACTTCTCAGGTAACTCAATTTGATGCAGAAAGCAGAACATTATTTATTTGGTGGTTCTCGTTTTGGTGTATAATACATTTTTTTTCCACTTGAGCATATTTTGTTTGAAATGAATATATTTGCATACAAGTTCAAAAATGTTTAAATAATAAAAGTAAACCTAGTGCTTTGAGAAAGTAGACATGATTTTCTGGGGAAATTTAAAAAATATGTGGGTCATACTTACATGGATTGCACTATACAGTCTATAAGCAAAATAGGCTGGTTTGTCTCGAACACAGAGAACTAGGAAAAATCAGAGAAAAAAAAGAACGTTTGAGAGTGATGATATATATTTTCTTCAGAATTTGGGAAACAATGAAAACACTTCTTTTTTTCTGTTAAAATCCTGGGAGAGTGAAACTTTTTGAGTCCTATGTGGGATCCCTCATTGTACATTGTAGTAAAATTTCAATATTTAGAATGGTGGTAAAACCATAACCTATAGAAAAATGTAAAGTAACAATATTATAATGACTCATTCAGATTTTCATTTAGTCTATCTCTATCTCTTAGAGATCTCTTAGTTCCTTCACAGTGTCTAGTGAAGAAAAATGTTTCCCTTTTATCTGAAAGTTAAATAAAGCTTCAAAGAGACCCAGGTTATCACCACTATTATAGATTTTTATTATTATAGAATTCAATATGCAATTGATTCATTTTCCCAAACGCTATTTTTAAAAGGCGAAAGATTTATGCGATCTGAAGAGAAACCAGAGTGTGCAAACACTATTTTTAATCCCTTGTAGACTTATGAATAGATCTGACGTCTTTCTCTCTTCTTTTTAAAGATTTTTAAATTTATTTGAAAGAGAGAAAAAGAGACAGAGACAGAGAGTGGGTGGGGGAAGGGACAGAGGGAGAGAATCTCAAGCAGATTCCCCACTGAATGTGGAGCCTGCTGCATGGGGCTCGATCTCACGACCCTGAGATCATGACCTGAGCCGAAACCAAGTGTTGGATGCTCAACCAATTGAGCAACCCAGGCACCCCAAATCTGAGGTCTCTTAAAAAAAAGAAGAATGGATGGGCGATAAGAGGCCTGGACCAGTGTTAGGAGTCATCTTATCAAAAGCATTATGGCATTAGAACCACTTACAGCCTAGTGAACTGTTGTCCTTGATGGAGGTCAGTTGATGATTATTGACATTCAATAATGCTTATTTGAATAAGTAAATAAGTTAATAAATAAACGAGTAACATATGTGGGGCTATAACTTTTGGGCAAAATAAAGTCATCACAACAGTGCTTTCTCTATAGTTCAAATGGTAATTTTAGATTGTAAGACCATGCCCCCATCTTTTACTTTTATTTATAACTGTGAACCTCATAGCACTCTTGAGTCACTGCTAGAATGTGGCGCACTTTGAGGAGAAGGAGTTTTGTTGTTGTTTTTGTTGTTTTACTGTTCCATTTGCAGGGCCTGAATCAATAGAGAGAATAGTAGATGACTCAATAAATGTTTATGGAATAAATGAATGAATCAGTTAAATTGTTCTCTGGTATTTCTCATTTCCTTATTTCCTCTCACCCACTGCTTTGTTTGTGGTATGGTCTATAGCGGAAAGAGCTATCTTGAAATTCAGATGACATGAGTTCTTTTCATAACTTTATTATTCATTAGTTGATAGACTTTGAAGTAGTCAATTAACCTCCTTGGGCCTTTGTTGTTAAATGAGTTGTGATGTGATACGTGGTTATTAAATTATGTTGAGAATTAGCCACAATAAATGCACCATATTCTCAGAAACACACACACATATTCATATATTGTATACTGTTTTAAGGATTTCATAGAACCCACCAAACCTTTTTAATGGAACCCTCGCTTAAAACTCCTTTACAAACTAAGCTATAAAAATTCTGTTCCCTACTATCTCCAATGCCCATGTATGTTTGTGCCATTCCAGGAATGGAAAATCATAACGTACATTTATCCAACAAATGTAAGTGATTACTTGATGTGTGTTCTCTCTGGAGATATTTCATAAAGACCCTTCATTTGTAGTTCCTACAATGTATGCTGTCAAGTCCCAGCACAGCACAAGGTACAGCATGGGTAGTTTAATAGTAGTCATTATGGATAGCTCCCACTGTTTTCCTCTCTATGGGAAGATATCTTTCCTTAGGAAACAGATGGAGGTATGTCTCTCTCACAGTAGCCTGCAGAAATCACTACCGAGTAACAACTTGGTAAATTTTTATGGTAGAACTTACCCCTAAAGGCAAAATATTAAAGATGATGAAAAAAAAAACAACTCTTCCTCTTGGAGAAAAGGGAGCCATATTTCTAGCATTTATCTGCTCTTTAACAAGAGAATGGAAATCAGTACATATAAAATGAATTTAAAGGTATGAGATCCCAGTTACCTGAGAGAATATCTGAGAATTCAGTTTCCCAGTATGAAAGTTGAACCAGCTATTAGAGAAGGGTATTTGTTCATTAAAGTTATCAAGTTGCCAGTTTAGTGCATTGTATTAGGAGTTAATGTACTTTCCTCTATAGAGTTAACATCCTTACTAAATAATTAACTTCAGGGGAAAGTGACTCAATGAAGAGCAAAGTCATGCATCTTTAATTCAATCAAGCTAATCGGCATTTATTGTGGAATGAAAGGTCTGCTATACACCAAAGGTCTGCTGTGCACCAAGTAAATTATTACTTACCAATTGCAACTAGCAACTCTTGGAAGTATCCATCATAGCATTCATTAATGGCATCTACCATGTCTTGCCCAGAAATATTTTGAAATTCCTGGAAAACTTCAACAAATTGATATAATTCAAAGGAGATTTTGTACATATTATAAATTTAAAATATAAATATTGATTAGATTGCTACAAATAGTGAAAGTAAATAAAATATAGGGGTACAGGTTGAGTTGGAGTAGGCTGTCTTTTACAATTTTTTATAGTGTTTTATTTATGTAGAAAAAAACAAAACAATTTTTTTAACTAAAAGAAACAGAAAAGTATAGAGGTCAAACAATGTGCAAACTAATATGAGTGCACCTCTAAGACAAATATGGCAGCTTCACACAAATCATGACATTAATAATAATCTCCTTGACTTGTAATGGACTAATTAACCCATGTTTACTATATTCTCTTCAAGAAAACATATAATATGCCTAATAGAAAATAGCTAATTTATTTGAGTAAGTTCTCCATCAGAAACAGAGATGATTTTAAAAGATTCAGTATTTAAAGTTTATATAATTCAGTTTTTGGAAAAAATAAAATTATAAGAAAATTTTAAGAAAATTTTATTCCTTGGTAATGTCATTAGATGAGACACGTCTGTATAAATGTAATTCAAAATAAGTACCTTTGTGATGACTGGCTTTCCTCTATATGTAATATTTCCCTTTTTCTCCCTTCCAATTAACTACCTGCTTCCTATTATACTATCAGTTAAGTAGCTGAAAAGAAACCTGATTAATAATTACCCAGCCACAGTTGTTGATAACTTTTGTTGCACAGGATCATTTGCAGCATGGTTTTGTGTTCCCCTGTCTTCTGCTGACAGGCTTCCCACAGGACCTGAAACATCATACCGCTAGGAAGTAGCCCCATAACCACCCCAGACCATTTTAACAAAGGGTTTTCATAGTCACTTTGAGATCTGGTTCTTGTTACCATTGCATCCTGAGCAGCCAGAGCAGGGTCTGTATATCCTTCCTCTCTGGTTCCCTGTAAAATAAGCACAGGTTTTCCTTTATAAATTTTCTTAATTAACAACCCATATAGGATTATTGGGACAAAAATCTTTGAACCACCAAATACCTTGGTAATTCCTAAGAAAATTCTATCATTATTTGGAGTTTATATTTGTTGAATAATATATGAAACATAGGTCTTTTTTAAAAATGTGGGTTTTATCTTTTCTTTGCACCAGTGGTCATCTTTCAAAGATGTTGAAATGTTTTTCACTCTTCTGTGCAGTTTCTTCTTCCCATCAAACTGAGCATCCAAGGCCTGGCAGTGGGTAGTACAAATGGATTTAACATTTTAGAGTGAAAATTCAGAGAGAAAGAATGAGTTAATATTTAGTTTCTGACTTGTCAAATAGGACACATGCAACAATAAAATAATAATGAAATCCAGATTTTGTGGAGTAAGAATATTTTACAAATTTGTATCATGCCCACTGCTCCCACCCATTTATCATATAAAGAACAGACATGGTCAAGTTGATCAGAGATGTCCATTGCAAACAGGATGGAAGGAGGGCTAGCCAGTGCAGGAGCTTCTGGTCTCCAAGGATTATGACTATAAGGGGTGGAGGGAAGAGTTAGGAGAGATATGTGATCAGACAGTTCATTTAATGTTCCTTTGGGTTGAGATCTGGAGGGAATGTTTTTTTCTCTTCTTTCTCTCCTCTTCTCTTCTCTTCTTCTCTTCTCTCTCTTCTTTCTCTTCTCTTCTCTTCTCTTCTTCTCTTCTTTCTCTTCTCTTCTCTTCTCTTTTCTTCTTTGTTTCTCTTCTCTTCTCCTTTCTCTTCTCCTCTCCTCTCCCGTCCTCTCCTCTTCTTTCTCTTCTGTTCTCTTCTCTTCCCTTCTCCTCTCCTCTCCCCTTCCCTTTTCTTTCTTTCTTTCTTTCTTTCTTTCTTTCTTTCTTTCTTTCTTTCTTTCTTCTTTTTTTTTCTTCTTTCTTTTCTATGCTGAGAGAACACTGAGAATACAGTGGCTTCTGCTCCCATCATGATTTTGGACTCGGAAATTGCCCCACATTGCAAGGAACTCAGTGATATAGCAAGATCAGGCTGAGGAAAGTCCTAAATACAACTTTTTTGAATTGACCTCAATCCCTAAGTAGCATTAATGGGTCCCAAATTCCTTATCTGCTCCTGATGGAGGAACTTGCATGCTAGCTGAGAACCTGGCTGGGGAACTTGACAGATGGAGTCGTTTATGACCATGGCAGGGAGAGACTGTTCCAGTAGCCAAGAGCTATAAAGTAGACCACATTGGTAGACTGTGTGGGACCTAGAACTTAGGGGATTCTTCAGCTCCAGTGAGAGTAAAGATGAGGCTAAACCATCATAGAAGTTTACTTGGCTCTGACCAAATTGAGACAGAAAAAGGATCATAAGTTAACAAGCTGCATGGTTTAGAAGCTGATAATGAGAAATGTTCATACCCTGGACATCTATATTTCATCAGCTGCATGTCCAGAGTTGTTCAGAACTACCATTCCATAGTCAAGATGAGCAAGGATGCCGAAAATATCTTCACCATCTGAGGCACTATCACTCTCATAAAGATATCTCCTAAACTACACACAAATGCCTCTCCACCAACAGGGCCAGAAATCTGAGAGTTGAGTATTTAACTCAATAACTGTGTAAATGATATTGAACAGGTACTCACATTGACTATTCAAAGTATTGTATGGATTAAATTTGTTTATTAAATTAAATATTAGGCTTTCTTCCTTGCTAACCCAAAGCTGGAAGCATATGAGAAAGATCAATTTATTCATAGAGAAATAAATAAACTACATACTTTTGTGAGTAAATTTGTACCCCTGGAAAATTTAATATGTTTTAATTATAAATTAGAAGTTGTGTATCACTTAGAGGTGTCCCCCTTAGGAAAAGTTGATACAAATTTTTTTTTCAAGACACTGGATACATTTTTATTGAACCTTTTAGTTTAAAACATGAGGTAAAAGGAAAGCCAGTTCTCCTTAACCAATATTTTACACAAATGTAGTAAAATATTTCAAATTTTAGGGAATCATAATGGATTACGTGTCTTAAAAGTTGGGGATTGAATAAACAATATCCAACTTCTTGAATTTTCCTGTTGACTCTTCCTTTACAACAGTAACCAGTTCTAATTAGTTACATAAGTTTCTTCAAGGCCATGTTTTACTGTTGCTGATTTCTTTATGTCTGAAGCATTGCTATTTCAATCAATAGCCATAATTCCACTTCAGAAATGGTTTTGCTTTGGTGAAATTTTGACATCAGGCTGTCCTTTAGTTCCATAGGCCCACTCTCATTCCATCTCTAGTTGAGCCTTTTCTCTTTTACTCATAGTCAAGAGTGCTTCATCCCATCTTCTGATGACTTTGCCTATTCCAACCTTAAAACTTAAAGGCGTGGCATTTTTCTTCTCCTTTGAACTCTTCTGAATATTAGTATCAAAAACATTAGTATGGCAATTCATACTCTTCATCTTATTTGATCTATATCAGTAGGATTTGATGCAATTGCTCACTCTCTCCTCCTTGCTATGCCTTCATCACTGGGCTTCCAGGATTCTGCACTCTCATTTTCCTTCTTTCTGCTTCCCTGGTTACTCATTCTCCATCTTGTGTACTGGTCCCCCTTTTACTTTTCAATCTCTTAATACTGGAAAGTTGTAGTACTCAGTTTTTAGTACTGCTCTTGTCTGCATGTACAATCCTTCCCTTGTTAATCTTTACTGTTCATGTAGCTTTACATTCCATCTATGTTGTAATGATACCCAATTTTACATCACTAGCTTAGATCTACCATCTGAATGTCAGGGGCATATATTCCAATTGCCAACCAAACACCCTCACTTGGATTTCTAATATACATATTAGACACAACATGTTCAAAATCTATCTCCTGATCTCCCTCCAACTTAAAAACCTCTTATATCCATAACTCTCCACATTTCAGTTTATGACAACTCCACTGTTCCTACTGCTCAGACTAAAAAACTGAGTAACATTTTATTTCTTCTTTTTTACTTTATATCCTACATCCAGTTCCTCAGGAAATAATATAGACACTACCTTCAAAATACATGCAGAATCTGGGCACTTTTCATCACTACCAGAGCTTTCCTATAGGTCCAAATTAATATTGTATTTTGACTTTTTTTTTTTTTTTTCTGATATAGCATCCTTACAGGTTTGTTTCTATCCTGTCTCCCTACTTTTTCCTCAACATTGCATCTAGTGTGAATATTTTTTTTATTTAAATGAGTTGTCTTTGTGTGTATGTCTTTTCTCAAAGTAGACCAATAGTTTTAAAGACCAATGATGTTGAACATCTTTTCACATACTAGTCATCCATTTATCTTTGGTGAAATGTATGTTCAAATATCTTTTTTCTTGTTATTAGAGTCTTTGGTTTGTTATTGAGTTTGGTTTTCTTAATGAACAGGTTTATTGAGGTATAAATGCCTTGCAACAAACTGTACATATTAAAAAAAATCATATCATTCCTTTTCTCAAAATCCAGTAATGATTCTCCTCTCTCCATTTCATTCAGAACAGAAGCAAAAGTCCTTACAAGGCACAGATTTGAACTTTCTGACATTACTCACCACTACTATAGAACATTTTCTTGGCTTGCTCAGAAGGCACCAGCTGGCCTTCTTGCTATTCTTCACAACTGTCAGCCACTCCCTTGCCTTAGAACTTTCCCCTAACTTTCCCTTTGCCTGGAATGCCCTATCATTACCATTCATTTGCTGACACATTCTTTCCAAATGTTTGCTCATATCTCATCTTCTCAATGAGATTTCCCTGACCAACCTATGTAATATTGCAATCTACCTACTATGCCCAGTCCAACAATTTCTATCCCCATTATCCTGCTCTGCCATATCTTTCACTGCCTTCTAACATTCTATATAATGTAACTGTTCATTAGATTTCTCTTGAATTGTTCCTATTCCCCCATTAGATTGTAAGCTTCTTAAACACTGATGAGGTCCTTGTCTCTTTTGTTCATTCACAATTCCCTATTGCCTAGAATCATGGTTGGCACATTGCAGGCACTTGACAAATACTAATTGAATCAATACTAAATAAATGTAGGAAAGCTAAAGAAATGACTTTTAGATAGCGGAATTCAAAGATCAGTTGTATTACTCCAGCTTTGTAATATAACTTGAAGTCTAGAATTATGACACTTCGACTTTTGTTTTTCTTTTTCAAGAGTGCTTTCACTATTTGGGGTCCTTTGTGGTTCCATATAAATTTTAAGATTGTTTGTTCTAGTTCTATGAAAAAATGTTGTTGGTATTTTAATAGGGATTGCATTAAATCTGTAGATTGCTTTGGGTAGTATAGATATTTTAACAATATTTGCAATCCATAAGCGTGGAATGTCTTTCCATTTCTTTGTGTTTTCTTCAATTTCTTTCATCAACGTTTCACATTTTTCAGAATATAGGTCTTTCACTTCCTTGGTTAAGTTTATTCCTAGGTATCTTATTATTTTTTGTGCAATTGTGAATGTCATTGTTTTCTTAATTTCTCTTTCTGCTGCTCTCTCTGTTGTGTAATAGAAATGCAACAGATTTCTGTAGATCAAAGGAACAGAATAGAAAGCCCAGAAATAAATCCACAATTATTTGGTCAATTAAACTTCAACAAAGCAGGAAAGAATATCCAATGGGAAAAAGACAGTCTCCTCAACAAATGGTATTGGGAAAACTGGACAACTGCATGTGAAAGAATGAAACTGGACCACTTTCTTGCACCATATACAAAAATAAACTCAATGAATTAAGGACATAAATGTGAGACATGAAACCATAAACATTCCAGAAGAGAGCACAGGCAGTAATTTCTCTGATATTGGCCATAACAACATCCTTCCAGATATGCCTCCTGAGGCAAGGGAAACAAAAGCAAAAAATAAAGTATTGGGACTACATCAAAATAAAATGCTTCTGCACACCAAAGGAAACAACCAACTA